ACCTTAATGATTCTATGATTCTATACGTGCTTTTGATTCTATTGATGTAGCGTGTAGCAGAGTAAGTGCAGTTTCTTCCCTAACTATGAAGCTGTCAAGTGCTACCATAACTGAATGAGAAATTCTTTATCTTCTGTTTGTACTTCAGATATCCTTATCAGGTAAGCACTGTTTGGAAACTGTAATGTGAATTAAGTTGAGATTTGTTCAGTGCTAGCTGATTAGAAACTATTTGTCGTTCTGTATTTTAAACAATTTGAGGCAAAAAGTCAGGGTTGGCAGCTATCAACAAAATAGTTAGTTTCAGTGTACACGTTGTTCAATACTATTTTTATTAGAGATAGGCATGTAACTGCTAACTGTGACCCAGAGTAAACTGATTCAGATATTAACTATGCTGTAAGATAAACGGTTTAAGTCTTCTGGAAGAGGAGGCGATGAGGAGAGCTGATAGTTTTTTGAAGCCTCATACTTTATTAGACCTGTGGCTGTATTTAATGAAAATCGGGTAAGAAAGGAGGCCTAAATAGTTATCTTTAAAGTGGTAGAGTCATAGACCAAGTAGTCAGGGAAGCAGGTGAGTGTATTATAATACCTTCAAATTAAGACAAGATATTTTTCTGGAAAACATCTTTGGATCAGTATAACTCAGTACAACAAAGAAGTAAGTGAAACACTGTGGCCCATGAGATATGAGAAGATGGATTAAATAATTTAACAGTCTAAACTGGCCTTTAAAATTTAGGGATTTACTACGCTATAGCCAAATTCAGGAAATATATTGTTGGTCTTTCTTCCTTTTGCAGCTTGCATCAGGTATTTATAGCTTTGCGTGTTCCTTGTGGAATCATCATACCGATACGTTCCTACAGCAAGTTTGTACAGGGGATGAAGCTGCAGCCATGAATTCACTAGAAAGAACCTTGTTGTCATTGAAAGGTAATAATATTGAATTATATTAAATATAAGGAGTCAAATAAGTTTCTTCACAGTGAACGAGTAAGACTTCTTTGATAAAGAGTTAGCATTCTTTAACAAAGCCATGCCCATTGGGAAAACCAGTATATATACCAGGAAAACCTTGGTATATTTTACCTGTACCTTTAGCAAGGCAGAAGGATTGTTCACACGGAAGGGGTAGAAGGTACTTTTGTTTCTCAGTATATACCATTCTGATATGTATGTCGTAAGAAGTCGAAGTAAGAGGTGGGAAAGTGGAGGACCTAACAGGATGCTTTTTTACGCATGTTGTAATTTAGACTTGCATCTCTCTATCTTTAGGCGCTTAACTGAGGAAGCTGAGCTATGAATTTTGTTGTGTTAAGTTCACCTTGTGTTCAGTGAAGAAGTAACCTTAGCAGTCAGTTTAGATTTTAGGTTGGTGCTCAAGTATTTATCCGTGGGATGAATACATATCCTTACTGTACTTCACTGATTTGAAGAATTGAGGCGTTCGTGTGTGGTGCTTGCAGTGCAGATAATACCAGTCTTGAATTGTTTCAGAAGGTGCAGCATGCGGTTTCTCTGGGTAGCTGGCAGTGATAAACCTGAGAAAATTCGTAAGATGGCTAATGGGCCCTAGTTAACTGTACTTGGCCATTTTCCTGCTGCAGAACCTTTCAGAGGTTGAATACTTACAGCTTTTGCAGAATTCTTCTTGATTCAGTAATTCTTGGAGTCCTCTTCATTATTTTACACATGATGTACTGAATTTTAAAGTAATTTCAACAAGATTAGATTCATATTAGGTATAGTTGAGGCATCCAAAGGCCCAAAATTAAATGTATTTTTTAATTTGGAGAATTGGAAGAAAGGCACAGCAACTGTGATTTTAACTGAGTTCTGAAATCTGTTGGAACAAGGGCTGAGAAATACCTACACAAGTAACTTGGTTTTTTTTCCTAGTGCTTCGTAAACTGACAGTCCATGGGTTTGTAGAACCTCATTGGAGTGTAGAGGTAATGGTAAGTGACATATATCCGTTTCTAGTTCTAGATTAGGAATCTTTTGTGATGATTTCAGTTGTTGTTGCGGCTATGTTTGAAAATTGTTGAAAGGCACACATTTGTGTTACATAAGGGAAGATCAAGCAACACAAACTCAAAGTTATCTTCTCATCAGTTAAGAACTGTCAGATCCTAGATAGATCCTAAACACTGTGACACCAATGGCATGACGTTTAACAAAAGAAAAGGTACCCCTTCCAATTTACGTGTCATATGATAGTGACACCCCTGTTGCCTACTGGAAGATGTGTTATGTACTCTCCCTCATCATTTGAAGAGGATGTTTTCATTTAATGATGAATGTAATGGCAAGTTTGTTCTGCCAAATTCTATTGGTAGAATTTGTCTGATTGAGATGAAAGCCTGTGGTATGCAGCCCATTGGGGTGGGGTGGGGGGCAGGGGGAAGAAAGAAGAAAGAAACCCAAGCATCTCACTTAACCCCAAACACTGCCTGCTTTGCTGGAGGAATTGGTTACCTACGATGTACATCCTAAACTAGGAAGTTGAGAACAGGAAAGAACTGGATAATCAGATTGTAAAGCCTATGTTTATATTTACCTGTACCACCTTCTACTAGAGATGCTATGCTGTTTGTGTAGTACTAATAAGGTTTGGATCACCTGTGCAGTCTGCTAGCTAGCTAATTATTTGTTTCATGAGGAAATTGCTTGTCCAAGATAATCAGTTAGTTCAGTAAAAGTGATAAGGTAATGTCTGAGCTTGTAACACATCTGAACTGACTTCAGTTTGACTCAACTTTCTTCTCATGATACAGTGCAAAATAAGCTTCATCTTTAAAAGACGTCTACTTTCACATTTTTCAGGGTTTTCTACATGCAGTATTTGAACGGCTAAAACAGTTTCTGGAGTGTAGTAAGTATCTGAATATTTTTCCTTGTATTGGCTGTTAAATATTAGAAGCTGGATGAAAACATAATACAATTTAGTGCATCATCATTAATCATTTAGGTGCAAGGTATTTTTTCTAAGTGCAAAGCTATTACTTTAAATGCCGCTGAAACTGTCAGGGAAGACTTCAGTAAAAATATCCTTTTGTATCAGCAGACTAAAATCCCATGAAAATTGTACTTGGTGTGATAATGCCAACTGAAAAAAAAATCTTAAGCCATGGATTGACAAAGTATCCATATTAAAATATGTAGACGCTACTAAAACCCAGATCATCTTGAGTCTTCTTCTTTGGGAGGGTTTTATGTTTTTGTTTTTTCTGGAGTTTGCCATGTATTTTGGTAAGGGTCAAATGGGAAATAAAGACCACATTCAGCTATATGTACTTTATAACTGGAAGAGTTGTAGTCTGAGACAGGCAACCATAGGTTAACACAGTCAACAGGAATATAAGTATAATTGGCAGGTGTTAGTGCTTTTTTAGGGAAGTTACTTGGAGCAAGCCAAAAGGAGATGTTTGGCAGTGTGGCGTCTGAACTCATTGCTCTTTTCTTGCTTGTACGTTTGTAGTAGACCTGGTGCAAATTATTCATTCATTTGAAGCCTGTCAAGTCATTCTTTTAGGATTCCACAACACTTTTTCTGAGAATAAATGTCTGAACTGAGTAGAAATTTTTTGATATAAATGAAGGTACGTGGCTCAGGAGCCTGTACTTAGGTGAGGCGGGCTGATCTGACTCTGAGCCTCCTTTCTAGAAAAATGGAAACTGCCACTGTGTTCAATGCCAAAATAAAATACCTTTTTTGCTCTTCCAAAATGCAGGCAGCTTTGCGTGCAACTGTTTGCCCTTTCTATTACACAGTAATCGTGCTCCTTCTGGCCCTTCTTTCATTTTTTGCAAGATAGTTGCCTAGCTTTAATAGACTGAATTGAAGGCCATCCCATCCCAAAGCTTGGTGGTTATCGCAGTCCCCTAGAACATGAGGACTGTGGAGTTTGAATGTCATGAGATGGGAAGCTTCAAGCTCAACTCTTATTTCCACTTTTCTAATCAGTAAGTTGTTTGGCAAAAGCAGGCATGACTACCTTAAAGATGAGTGTTTACATTTATTACATCATGGTTTTTGCCTGTATGCCTTCATTATGGCTCTTTTTGTTTTTCTCTTTTATTATAAAAGCTTTATCTATTTTTTTGCAAATTCGGAATATTTTCCAGTGTCCATAATAAATTTTTTTTTTAAGGTGGAGTTTCTAGAAAAGCACATAGTGTTATGTAGTAAGGATATACCATAATTTTAATAAAAGGGCATTTTCATCTTTTCAGTGCTTTTTTTACTTCTTGTCTATGCTAGCATTTGTTTGCATTATTTTAACTGTCTTTTATCATTGAGTTGTCTGTAATGATGTCCCAGTTGTTTTATTCTGATCAGTTATAGTGAATTTCACTGCAGCTGAGAGAAACAGTTAAAGATTCCCCCTCCCCACCCTCCCGCAGTACTCATTACCTTGAATTTGACTTTGAATTTATTCTGCCTTAGAACTTTTTTCTGGCTGCCATAATCCCTGAACTACAGAGAAAACAAGTTGTTCTCCAGTGTTCATTTTTTAAAACTTAGCTATCCAGAAAGAAAAGGAAAGTCTGAAAAAATGATAGTTGTTAAATATCTGATTTACCAGGTAGAAGTATAAGAGCAGAAAATGTATGCAGAGATCGTCTAGAAAAGACTATAATTCTGTTCACTAAAGTGGTAAGTAAATTCTCCATTCAGTTATTGAATAGTTTACTGTTCTGGAGGAGCATTCAGATATGTATGTGCCTTAAAGCCAATAGGTTTCAGATCTTTTAAAGAAATGGAAGGTACTGCAACTTAAAACTTCTTTGTTATGAAATATATTTTTCAATTTTTTTTTAAGAAAAGGGTGTCTGTTTACTCATGCTGACATAAGTTGCAGGAGTGAAGAATACATTTCCTTAGTTAAAAAAAAGTTTAATGCATTCCATAAGTAAATTATTTAGCCAGGAGTTTGCACAGAAAAGAATTCTGGAAGTTTTGCTAAAACATTGGTATCAACATTGATGAATAAAGAAGAGAGAAACTTTTCATCCTGTCTTTTATAAGTAGTTAGATTGCTATTTCTAAGGCCCTATTAGGTCTATTGAATAACTGGCCGCTTTTAGTTTATTGAAGGAAAACTAACAAAAAACTCTCTTACCCTCTGTGACTTTTGTATTATATAATATATTTGGAGTTGTCAGCTAATTCTGTGCAATCATTAATTGCATATATTACCGGAAGGTAATTTTAGCATTGTCACTTGCTCTGTTTTTAAAAGATATAAAACCTACAGAATTCCCATTGTTTTTAGATTATATTTTGGGGCCATGGATCTTATTTAAATATTCAGCCTAATTATTAGAAGTGGGAGGCAGCTGTCAGCTTCACAAAATTGAACTGAAGGTGTTCTGTCCCAACATTTTTAGTCTTTGTCATAGTACTTCTTTGAACTACCAAGCAAAGTATGTGAGGCATGTGCATCTTTTTTCATAGACCTGAAAAGAAAATACACTTTATTAATAGATAATCTACCACCTGTAGAAACTCAGATGCAAGAATTTAGGCTTAGGCATTTTTGCAGTAGTAGAGGAGATTAAAGGAATTGACCAGTGCATTCTAGACCACTAGTTGGAAAAGCTAGGCTGAAGAAGCAAGTGCTTGTACTGCAGTGGAGGGGGAGAAAAAAGAATAAAAAATTATTTCCCTCATGCCTCTTTTCTTACAATAATTCTAATAGGGTTGAATTATCTGCTAAAATGTTCAGGGTTTTAAGTGTGGTTGATGTGTTTTATATACTGTGTTGCTAGCAAGCTGGTCTAGTTGAAAATGGGTATTGTTCCTTAAACTTAAAACAAGGCAATTTTGAACATGAATCAATAATTTCAGGGCAAAATAATGCTTAATTAACCACTGATACTGATCTCTTCCTAATTTCCTGTCTGTGTTCAATTCTCTTTTCTATAATTTTATATATATTAGCACTTGTGTTTGGTAAGTAGTTTACAAAAACATTTAATAAAAGACTTGCACAAAAAGTCATTTGATTTCTTTCTTGCTCTTCTACTTCCTTAATTTTCAGCTTTTGGACTTCCTGGATCAACATCCTTTTTCATTCACCCCTTTGATTCAGAGGTCATTGGAGTTTGCTGTAAGCTATGTTTTCACAGAGGCTGGTGAAGGAATTGTATTTGAGCGGTTTATTGTACAGTGCATGAATCTCATTAAGATGATTGTAAAAAATTATGCTTACAAGCCATCCAAAAATATTGAAGGTACTGCAGCTATTTACTAAAAACATTTTTTATATCTTAAGAAACATTTTGCTAGTTGTTCCCAACAGTAAAACTCCTTTAAGACATTCTTTTCAAGCACTTAATGTTTTAATAGTTAGTAGTGTGTGCTTCTGTTTCTATATTGATAATTTGTATATTGATGGTTAAAGTATTAATATATATAGACACTGACCTGCTAAAGTAATTCTCACTACACAAGAAGTGTGAATATCTTTTCTTTGTTGATTGTTTTAGTTTTCATTGAACTAATTTTAAAAAGTATTGAGGTATGGAATTTGGTTTGTTTTCATCAAATGGTTTGATGCATCTTTCCGTTGAGAAATGTTTGATAAAATCGGGTATTTGCTGCAATTTACTAATACCAGTACTCTGAAGTAGAGAAACACAGTGAATTTGACATGCAGTTGAATATAAAGCAGTTTGTGTTCTGCTTTGTAGGACTGTTTCATTCTGAATCTTCATACACACTGGTGTATATATGGATAATGACAAATAGAATTGAACTATATTTAAAAAAAACCCCAAACCTTCCACATTAGTTTGACATTGGGATGACTAGATAACAATTAGCATTCTCTTTCTAAATTTGAAAAAAAAAAATTTCCTGAACATACAGGTATGTGTCAGATTACACAAATCCAGCATTTAAAATTCTTCAGAATATCAATGTATTTCAGTGTTTTCCCATATTTTTATAATACATTAGAATGTCCTAAATCCACTGATTATTAACAGAAATTTCTACTTCCAAAAGTTCATAGTTGTGTTTGAGTTTTTGAAATAGAAATGTGGTCACTTGAGACCAGAAGAATATAGCACATTCTGATGAAAGCTATAGCACTTGACTTTTTGAGAACTGGGTGATTAAAAAAAATTAAAATAGAAAATTTATTTTTCTTAATTTCTGACTGATGTATAGCATTTGTGTTGGTTGTATAGCATACAGTATTTGGTTTTATTGCTGCTTTCTTTAACAAATGTTAACTCCTAAAAAATCCAAGTTATTTTTACGATTGTATTTGAATAAACTTTCTGAGTAGGTATAAATTAAACTTTCTTTGAGTTCTGTGTGTTTTTTAATTCAGTAATGCTAAATAAAAAACAAAATACCAAAAGCAGCAGGTAAACAGTTTTTCTTTTCATCTACATAGTATCTGAAAAGCATTATAAATACTTTGTGAAGCCCTAACAACCCTTCAGTTTAATTGTGCTGTTGGAGAACTCTCTTAAAAGTAAATGAATTTGGGAGTTTAACTTGCTTAAAAAAAGTACCACCTGAAAGTCTGTTATGGAAGTCTGCCATGAAAAATGTTTGTTTGTTTGTTTGTTCTGAGGATAAGAATTTCTTATCTATTGATTTCTTTCTAATTTTACTAGACTATTGATCATTGAGCCACTTACTTGTAATTTGGAATTTTCTGTGTTTTATTTCAGATAGCAGTCCTGAAACTCTTGAAGCACATAAGATAAAGACAGCGTTTTTTACGTATCCAACACTAATGGAAATATGTAGGAGATTAGTCACTCACTATTTCCAAAGGAAGAATTAATGATGTGGGAAGAGGACCCAGAAGGCTTCAGTAAGAAACGTGTTCTATAGTTGGTTGCAGTTTATTTAGATACTGGTATAAGAGTTTCATATCCGCATTGCCTCTACAAGTTGCTTACTGCAATATTGGCTGTTCTATTTTCCGCAGTCTTGTTACATGGACAAATATTTCCTCTAGATACTGTTTTCATAACAAGAGGTTTCTCAGTAGTCTATGATATTCACATATCTAAATATTAAACTTTATTTGAACCATAGCTGAAATAGTACTTTTTCCTTTTCTTTGTGAAATAATAGCTGTAGAAGAGACAGGAGGAGATTCTTGGAAGTACAGTCTCAGAGTAAGTATTTCAATTTGAAAGAAAACCATTCAACATTTCTGGATGCATTTCTTGATAGTCTTGGAGCAAAGAGAGATGGTATTTGGTAGAAAGATAAGGTCATGCTTTTCAAAAAAATCTTTACTTAAAGACATTTGATTAGAATTAGTATAAATTAACTTTGTTCATTTATCAATGTTCGAACATGCTGCAATACACTGGAAACTATGCACTTCATATTTTAGGAGGGAGGGAAAAGGAGTTTGCTTCAGCAGTTATATTGTGTAGTATTTGGTGGTTATTAAACCCAATAGAAGTTGTCTCTTCTTTAAACTGGTAACTGATATTATCACTTACAACTTTCTTAATAGGCATGATGAATGAGTTAAGTTTCAGATGCATCTATATTAGCATTTTAGTTCAGATCAAAAGCATGCTGTTGTAATGAATGTCCCAATTATCGCTGCTGTGGTTTGCTTTGCAGAGAGATCTCAAAGTTTATTTGCTGGGTTACTTTCATTTTAAACCTAAAAAACCCAAGCCTGTGCATCTAGTGTGTTCCAAGTGCAAATGGGTATTCAGATGACTCAACTAGAACTAATTCAAAAAGAAATGGTGACATACCTGTAGTGTGGTCACTGGCTTCCCCACACCAGCTGTTTCACTCCACGGATCCATTGTTCTTCTACCACACAACTGGCTGATATAGATGCAGCCATCAAAATCTTACTAGAGTTAAGCATACTGTATAGTAGGAAGAGTGGTATTTCATATAATACTAATTTTTCTACAGTATATTGCATTTTAAATGACCTTTGGTGCGAGATATTCACCACTTTAAAATTTTAGGATGAAATATATTTTAATTGCCTTTATTTTGATAGATTCTAAAACAGATCTTTTAATTTTTCAGCCATGCACAGAAGTTCTTTTTATTGATATTTTCCATGAATATAATCAGACCCTTACCCCTGTGCTTTTAGAAATGGTTCACAGTCTACAGGGTAAGTTCTTTAAAAAATAAAGGAACTGTAAAATGTAGAATTCTTTATATTTGCTTTTGTCAACTGTTAAACAATTTTACCTTGTGATATCTAATTTTATATAGTGCATTCACTCTATTTTTGAAAGGACATGTTAATATTTTTAAATTATTTCTAAACCTACTATAAGGAAAATGCAGTGTGTGTATAGGAAGAGGAAATCCTAAGGATTCTTTACTTTTTGTCATGACTATTTTAGATGACTGACAAAGATTGGGGTATTTCTGCTTTCATGAGGTTTCAGGCTTTCTTGAGAATGGTCGACAAGCTTAATAAATTCTATAGGTTGCTTTTTATTGGGAACTTCCTGTTCAAATATTGCAAGACAGTTTATCGTAATTCTGCCATGCCTCTGCAAAAATCCTGGGGAAAAAACCTTTAAAAGAGAAAGTTCAAGTTATGCTGAGATTTTAGAGAGCCTAGAGGACTTTCCAAATCTGAAGAATCTGCTTTAAAAATTTAGTGTTTCTCTGTATGAAAAGTGAAGTTGTCATAGACTGAGGAATGATTCAAGTTTTCTTCACTCCCAAACTGAGTCTTAAAGTGGCCATGAAAGATAATGAGTGGTAGCTGCCACTTTGTTTTCCCTGTCATTTCAGCTTAGGTTGTTTCCCCAGGTTGTATCTTACTTGGCTTACAATATTTTATAGTTGAACTTATCGGAATGGATCAGTGTGTTCTATTAAATAGAAATAAATACTCATTGTCTGAAGGTGACATTCAGAGAATCTCTTCATAAAATACTTGTGTACGTAAATTGCAGGATGGCTTGCTGTGCTGTGACACTGGGAATGGTAAAAGGTTCCTTACAACAGGGTTGACAGTTACTTTGTTTTACAAGAATTATGGAAATTAACACTTCCATGCTAAAAGGTAGACTTTTTTTTTGCTCCTGAAGCCCCTAGTAGCCATTTCTGGATGTTTTCAACTTGAGAGTTACTGTTGAAGTACTAGATGATATTAAGAATTAATTAATTCTTAAGATTTTGGAAAATTTTTACTTATACGTTGTAGGTACACATGCACACATATTAAAGTATATAGGAAATAGATCTAGATCTCTGTTGGAAATAGTACCACGTGGTCAAGCGACTTCAGCAATTTGTGGGTTTTTGAATCTATTCATATAAAATACATGCTTCTGACTTATATGCATGTTGCTCTTAAAAATATTCAGCTCTGAAGAAGTCAGTCAAAAATAGGGTATGAAAGCAGAGATTTGATTTAGTATATTCACTGAAGAAAGTATTGAAACTGAAATAACTGAACTCATGAATAAAAAATGGCAAAGCAGTCTTAATTCACAGCATACTTAAGTGTAAAAGTGCGAAGTTGCTTGCATTCTTTCTTTTAGTTACACTTCTTTCTTTATTGTAACTTTGTCTTGTAGGATCTACCAACATGGAAGATGCCAGTGCTATACTGATTAAAGATGCTGGTAAATTAAATTTACTTTACCTTTGAAGTAACAGAGTCACTTTTGAGTATGTGCTTGACTTCTTAAAAATTATATTAAGAATTTGCAAGATTTTTTTTTTCTAAGACATTTGGAAAGTAGGACCTAGATCCTATTTCTCCTTGCAGTTGATGTCAGTCTTCACTTTTCAAAATGCTTATGTAAAAATATGGTGGTTTTTTCAGCTTTTTTGTGAAACAAACCTTTACACAATCTCCCTTACCGTCCTGTCTTTTCCTCTCTGCAAATAAATGAGCTACAGTGCTTACGGACAGATACTCTGTCCGTTTTACAAGTAAGGAGATTTTATGGCAAAAGAAAAGAACTGTCTAAGACCTCTGATGGAATCATTCTTGATGTTAGAATAAGATCTTCATTGTTCTTACAGCTTTTAACTATTTTTAAGAGTCTGAATTTTCTTTTGTAATACCTTTCTTTTACTAAAATTTTCTCCAGAGTTCCCTTTGCCATGGTCTGATAATATCTTTCTTCAGAAAGATATGCTTTAGTTTTGTTTCCTGTATTATGTTCAGGTTATCAAAAATGTTTTTTGAAACTTAAGTTAGTCTGATATTTATTATTAAAAATTAAACATTTAAGCAAACAATAAGCATAACTATTGTTTTTCCCCAGTGTATAATGCGGTTGGACTGGCTGCTTATGAACTATTTGATAGTGTGGATTTTGATCAGTGGTTTAAAAATCAACTATTAGCAGAACTACAGGTTTCTCATAACAGGTAAACACCTTAGTTTGTTATGCCTTCATCATTTAAATATGAACTGTTGATACAAATCTGCTAAGATAAAATGTCTAACAATTGCAGACTTGGAAAAATACTCAATATTTAAACATATCCACTAAATGAGCAGAGGTATGAAATAGATATAGATAACTGATACAGTCACAGAAGTGACAGTGTTTGTGACAGTTTCTGTTTATGTTTAAATTACCGTGTGGTGGATACTGCCAGGGTTCTGTAAAAATATTGTAAGTCTGTCCTCTTGCATATATTTGAGTTCACTAAACTTTCTCAGGACAACCACCTTTGCTCATTTGAAGAAAGATATTTAGGCCTCCTGAGACCCCAGAGCGCTTTAGGCCAGCAAAGTCCAACTGAAATCTGTGGAAATAATCTCTGTAAAACTGTAGCTTAGCCAAAATGGTGATGTGTTCTTCTCTACTAGTTTAAATACAAGCCCTCTGTAGCACTCTCCAGTTAATTTTGCCAGCATTAAAGTGGGGAAGTAAGGATTTGGGTTGTGTTGTAAAGTGTGAATCATTACAGGCTGGTTCTACATAAAGAGTATTATATAGCTCATCTGCTGTGGATTTTCCTGCTTGCCCTTCACTTGGATGGCCTTCACATGAGTACCTTTTTTTTGTTGTTGTTGTTTAGCAGATATCATAGGGTATTTTGAAAGATCAGTTTTGGCATCTCAGTACAGACTGAGCTGTCCATCTCTACAACCAATTAGAAGATGGTGTTCCTCCCTGTTCCTCAAACTGTCGCTCTTCCCTCAGGGGAAGGACAGTGACTGCTGTTGTACATGCTAATCCTCATCAGATGAGCTCCCACTCACCCTTTCACTGAATAAGCATGTCCTATTTTTCTCATCAGGGTCATTGGCAATGACCCTACTGTCCTTTGAAGAACGTTACTGGTTTTTCTTCTACGTTTGAAATTCATCTTACCAGACATGATTGTTATTTGAAATATAAATTAATTTATTTACTAACACCCTTAGGAGCTACTATAAATTGTAATGATGAGTTGCCAGCCAGCTTTTTTTACAAATGCCAGTTAAACACTTTCTTTACAAATGCAGTTCAATTTCATGTAGAGTGAAAGATCGTGCTAAACTTGCAAATAATAAAATGCTTCTTTTGATTACAATATACTTTATGAAAAACGAATTCTTTATTTTTGGATGTATAACCTTACTTCAGAGTCACAGAATAATTGCCACAATGTTTTTATTCTTTTTCTCATTAATCTTTTTTTTTTTTTTTGTATGATCTCAACTTCACCTTGCTATCTACCAATGACCAAGCACTCTAATGGTTAGGCTAAATGTCAGAAGAGCAGGAAAAAATGAGAGATCCTGTATATATGATTGATTCTTTGTTGTTGTGCCACACCAGCACTGATCTTTGAATAAAGCTGCCGTGGTATTTGTAGCACATACTGGCTTTGACATTTTTATGCTATCCACCCGTATAGCATAAGTAAAACTGACAGAAGTCTTCTATGGTTGATATAGTTCTATTTACAGTAGGGAAGACACCTGATCTAACCATTTGGTTGGCATTTGTGATATCCCCGGATGAAATTCCTGTGGGGCCAAAAGCTTGCAGTAGAAGTCGTCCAGAAGTTTGAAGCCTTGTTTGCTTGAACTGCTTCTACTGCCAGCATCATTGGAGACCACCACAGCAATAAGGGAGACAGTATTAGTAGTTTGAATGTTCAGATAAAGCGGATTGAAGGGTGTGATCTGCTGTCCCACAGAATGTCACATGGTGATTAGCATGCTTGTTCACAAACTGGTTCATGTTTGGGAACACAAACCTATGTCTTGACAGCAGTGACCGTAGAGTTTGCTGTGTTCTGTCTCTTTGAGTGTTTTGTTGTCTGTTGATAATGAGACTGTCAACCATGACCATAACAGTAGGAGAAATATGGGATTAATGAAAAAATATTCTTAAAGATTTTTAGAAACACTGCATTGCCAAATTTATCACTTGTCATAATATTTAGTTTTGTACTGAGTAAGGAGAAACTTTTGCGTAATACGAGAATAGTTTACTGAATACAATCTTTTGCAGTAATTCAATCTTAAAACAACTTTTCCTGGTGAAGGTACCAATGTGACACTTAGTACTTTGGTATCAAGTAAGATACTTTTGACTTGAATGTCTGAATGCTGTCCAGACTGCTTAAAGCTACCATCCTGTGACTATTGCAAGAGAAGCTGCCTTGTTCTGGAATATGGTCACTTTTCCTGTGTGAGCTTTAGGTCCAGCAGGCTCAATCTGCTTATACTTAGACAGTGTGTGCTCTTGGTGTAAAAGCTAATGATGTTCTAAGAGGTGAGCTTTCCCCAGAAGTAGTGACTGTAGAAAAGGCAGGACCTCAAAAATGAGCACCTATGAGCAGAAGAATTTTTAGGAACTTAAGTTCTTCAAAAACAAAAACAAAAACAAAACAAAAACCAAAAAACCCCAAACAAACAAAAAATAACAAACAAAACCCAAACACACACACACACCCCAAAACCCTAAAAGCACGCTATCTTTTCTCTACCAGAGAGAGAGAGAGAAAGAGTATAAAGATGCAGGTAGAATGGATGGATTGTACAATAGATATCACCAGAGCTGAAAACCCTTGCTGTCAGCAGACTGTTATGTACCTATGTCGTGTCATTTAAAACTTTTCTTTATGTGATAGTAGTTTGAAAACTATCCAACACCAATCTCAAGAAAAACCTCTTACTTTTTGAATATTCTAATTTTTACAAGGTTATGTATTTGGCATGAGCATTCTAAGAATAGAAAAAGTTGTATCATCACAGCTTCTCGAATAAATAGAAGGACGTGTTAGTAAGGCAACGTCTTATGTAAGTCATGCTTTATCATGGGTTGTTCATGCTTCACTGCCACTCAATAAATCTCAACACTGGAATGTTATTTCTCATTAGCTTTGTGTTCCAGTCTAACGAACTGCTGTATACATGCTGCTTCCACAACTTTCATGTTCTCTGAATGTGTGCTTTGTTAATTATCTCATGGTTATGGGAATGTTTAATACATCACATTTTTTAAACGTAAAGTATCTTCAGTTTAAATTGCTGTCTTGATGGTTTACAAGGCAGAAGTTCATCAAATGAAAAATACATTTAGGATAACAAGACAAAATAATTTGTTACTTAAATTTCTGTGAATATGGTTCATCTTGCCTAACTTTATATGTCTGCAAGTTAAGCATTTAAATCTGAGCTACTTTTCCTGATCAGCTTTTATAATCAGTGGAGAAAAATAGCAGCTCTACAGAATGCTTTTCTCAATCATTATGTTAGACAATTCAGCTCGTTTTTCTGGTTCTTACTTCTTCCCATTGACTCTAAAGCTGTTTAGTTTGTGCCCGTATTGCGGCAGTGGTGCAAGGTTAGATAATGTCATTTCTTCCTGAGAATAGTTTTAGACTGATGACATGAAATACTCTGGCGGTTGCTGTAATGCAGTACTTAAGTTTGCATTTTTAAATTGTATCTGACCTAAAATTTTAAGCATAAAAGGAATGTCAAGGAAATTGCTGGAAAGTATGGTGAAAGCCGTCGACACTGTGATGGCAGTAATAAATGTAAGATTTAATTTCTTTTATTGGTGTGCTATATGCAGAATAAACTGTAACTCTAGTGAGACCTTCAAGATTCAGTCATTTAGGATGAAAGTTATCTTTTTCAGACTAAGTTGGTGTTTCCTGAGCCTTCTAGTGAAGAATTTTGATGAAAAAGATTTCTGCATTAAAGTTGCAAAGTTGGTCTTGACAAACTAAATCTTTTAATAATTGTGTTGGGGAATAATGTTTTCCTAGTGATTCTTAGATTTCTTTTTCATCAAAGTGTTCTAGAACAGCAAGTATAATGAGTTAAAGAGTACAATTTTTTTTTTCCCCACTTTTAAAGATATAAACCAATACGCCGACGAGTAATTTGGCTGATTGGACAGTGGATTTCTGTAAAATTCAAATCAGACTTGAGACCTATGTTATATGAGGCAATTCGTAACTTGCTTCAAGATCAGGACTTAGTGGTAAGTATAAATAAGTAATGTTTTGGGTTACACATTTGTTCTCTAAACATAGGCGAAACATAAATACCATACCTTACGTAAACTTGATTGAGAACTTCATTAACATGACACCTTAAAGTCTGTTGTGTCTTGAGAAGTTGTGGGGGTGTTCAGTTATGGAAATGTGAACAGTAGGGTCAAAGACATGAAACGAGATCTTAAGATTTTCACTACTTGAGGACTTTGGCAGGAAAATGAATGGCAATAGCAACAGTCTGTTTTTTGTAAGAAGAAAGTTGTGAAACGTCTTGAGATAATTTATAAACAAATGAACTCTTTGTGTAAATAAAACAGGGTTATTCTGTGACTAGTCCCTGCAGTATGCAATATTATTTAAGCATCAATATAGAATTTGCTAACAGAGTATGATAAATGGCATTGGTTGCTAAGCTGGTTGAGTACAATTCTGTGATTTTAAGCTACAATTTCAGTTTACCAGCAGGTGAGGTTGAGTTGAGAAGCCGGTTTTGCAACTGTTTCTCTTGTTTTCTATTTTTAAACAAACAGACCTAGCAGCCAACAAATAAAACAAACTTACAATAAACTTACCTAGTTTGTTAGATAAATACTAATAATTGGCAGTCAAAACTGTTACTTCTGTGATTCCGGACAGCCTTAGCAGAGCAGGATATGTTTCTGTGTCAATGCTATGACTGTTTCCAGTTAATGCCTTCTGAGCATCTGAACATCTACCAGGGAAGAACATGCTAACTTGTTGAGTTTATTTGATTCAGTGCTTTTTAGGTGACAGCAAGCCTTGAGATAATAGCAAGTTAAACTCCTTCTCTATTGCAAGAGTTTTTATCACATATCTTCTTGTTTAATTCTTCTGACCTTCATGAAGGTTTGCCTGAGTAGTTTCTCCAGGTGGTACCACTTTAGCAATGCCAAATAGACTGTAAAGGATACTAACATGAAAGGGAATGAAAATGTTTGAGTTGAACTAACTACATTTCTTAGAGGATGACAGAACACATAGAATGATTCAATTACCAAAATAGCAACTGGTTTGATATTGTCAGATATTATGTTGATAATCAGAACGTTTAATGGACATACGCATGATGCTTCTTGACTTCTGTCTTTCAGGTCCGTATTGAGACAGCTACGACACTGAAGTTAAATATCCTTTTATTGGCAAAGATGTTTAATTAGTTCTTAATTCAGAGTTACTGGAAAATAAACAATTTTGAACTTACTACCAGATTCTTCACATTTTAATTTTTGTGTATCCACAGAATATTTGCTTATTTAAGTCTCGTATCCATCTGCAATCTGTATTATTTTTCCTTAATGGTTGTTTACCTGTAGATGACTTTGAGTTCAGAACCGACCAGTTCTTACCGGTAAGAGCATTTATATGGGCATATTATGATGAGCAGATAGATCCATAGAGGAAAGCAGGAAAAAAATATTTTCCACTTTTGTTTTAAACCAGGAGAAGGTAATTTCATTGGAATTGTTTAAGATGTCTTTTTCAGTTCAGTATATAAATTTTATCTACTGACTCAAAAGCCGGAAGACCGTACCTTTGCTTTAACCCTAACAAAGTGCTCCTTCTGGAGAGACAGCCTTCAGCTGTGTAGTGTTTTATCTGTGAATTCATGTTTACACTTACCAAAGCATGAAAATTATGTATGTTCAAATTGATCACATTTGAACTGTTATGTAAGAGCGTATCGGAAATTTTTTAACTCGTTCAGGCAGTAATTGGCTAATGTGCGTTTTTCCAAATGAAAGAATAACATTTTGCACACTTTGTAAGTGTCTTTCAAAGTTCACAGATATCTTAAGAGTTGCAAGTGTACAGGGAAATCACTAATTCATGTCACCAGTTGTATTCTTGATGGTCTAATCTGTAGTTGTTTATTTTTCTTTTAGTATCTGGAATCCATGTTTACACTGCTCTTTCAGCTACTTCAGGAAGTAACACAGTGTGACACCAAAATGCATGTTCTTCACGTTCTGTCTTGTGTGATTGAAAGAGTCAATATGCAGGTATTTTTTTACAGATCTCAGTTTTAGCTTTTTACTAAACACAGGAGGACTTGGTATTTTTGGCTTATACAAAAATAGTAGAAAAATGTCATCGATTAATAGACTGGTTATTGTTATGGTGGATGCCTGCATTGTTTGTGTTACTTAGTTCTCTTTTCACATTTCAGTTCTCATTTATCTTTTGTATAAAATGTTCTTGCACAGTTACTACTTCTTCTCTTTATTTACTATGTATTTTTTAGAGTACAGAAAGACTTGCACTGCTTATCTTACTGCATTTCTTGCAATTTTCTTTTTGTTAAGTGTAATTTATTCTAATTTTCTCTTCTTATATCTGAACTAGTATTTTATTAAGTCTTACATATTAAAAGAGAGATTTTTGGGGACAAAACGCCTCCCACTCCTAAGGACTGTGCAGTTAAATTTGTAATCTCTCATTGGCACTGATATGGATCCCGATTGCCTATACAGCACTCTCTTTAACTGTATGAAAAGTTTCAAGTTCACATTATGAATTTTCAGTACTTCCTTCTTAATGTTAAAACTATATTCTTCAGCTTATACATAAAGAAATTGAAGATGTTTTTGCAGAATTAAAAAATTAATTGTTGACTGCTTTTTTCTTTTTTTCTTTTTGCTGTATTACTGTATTAAGGACAGAGATAATGCATGGTTTTGAGCTTATCTCCTCTTTCTACAAGTAATCCTGTCTGAGAGCCAAATGAAGCTTTCCTAATTGTCCCTTGTAGGAAAAGTCAACATGACAACAGATTTCCCTGCATTTTAGATCAGCTAGAGAAGCAGCAGAAAAAACAAGTTGAGAAAGAACTTTTGAGTCTGTTTTGGTTAATTCCTAATTAAATACTTTAGAAGACAAATAGATTAACCTTTTAGTATTGTAGAACATCATAGAAAAAATTTAGGTTGGGACAAACCTCTGGAGGTTACGTAGTCCAACCCCTGCTCAAAACATGGGTAACTTCAGAGGTTATTCATAACTATTTTTTTTTAGTTTTTATGGGGATTGTTTCTGGTCTTCTTAAAGGAAGCCACTATTTAGGAATCCTGTTTAAGTGAAGAATATATTAATATGAAAGTATCTTTGGTTATCAAATTAAGTATTTTTTGTGTTCTATTTACGACTTAAGCCTGATTGCCATGCACAAATGTCCTTCTCAAACCCCTGTGCAGTCAGAAGTTACTTCAGTCACAGAGTATGGAATATGGTGTTTCACAAAGAGGAAAGAGGAGTAAATTAAAGCAAACTCTGTATTTTTACTGTGACAAAAGCAGCTCTTACATATTTCAGAAATTATGCTTGGGATAAATTAATGGCCTCGTTTCACACATTAAGAAACAAATTTGTGTTCTGAACTTCAGATACGACCATACGTAGGATGTTTGGTTCAGTATTTACCACTCCTTTGGAAACAGAGTGAGGAGCACAATATGCTACGATGTGCCATTCTAACCACCCTAATCCATCTCGTCCAGGTAAGGGGTCAGAATCACATAAATGTCAGTATCTTCTACAGTTCTTTCTCAGACATGCCTACATGTTCTGTGTGTGTATATGTATACATATACATATATGTACATATATATGTATATAGGTAAAATTAAGCTATATTTTGGTTTTTCAGGCTATTTCTAAATGCTTTTCAGTCTTACAATAAAGACATGGTTCTCTGATAGTGGAGGTAAACATAGCTAATGTTAACCACTTAACTGTTTTGTTTCCAGGGGCTTGTTCAGATAAAACGGTTCTTTAGGCAGATTTGCTTGTGTTCTGGAGGGATTTGGTTTTGTAATCTTGGAAGAATTGAACCTCCTTTAGTGACTTTATAGTCTATGTGAAAAAGCTTGTTCTGGCTTCCTGTATTTCCCAGCCGGTATTAGGAGTATCAGTCTCTTCTTACAGTCATTGTGTATGGTTCAGACTTGATTCTGCAGTGTAAGCACATCTGTTTCCCCATTGCTTTCCATTCAGCTCCGAGGGATGTGGAATTTCTATTTTCGCTGCAAAATGATGAGCCATTTTTAAGTCATAGGCCAAGATACGGGCCACCACAACAAGTTTCACTTTGCCTGTTCTTTAAATTTGTATTTTAATTCAGATTAGCATCAAATGTTTCTTGTTTAAATTGTAACTGTTAGGTTTAATGTCTCTCAAGGGTGTTGTTGGCATTGACTAATTGTGGGTCATTTTGTTTATTTAGAATTCCAACCCTTTTATTTTTACCATTTTTACCATTACCTTTCTACTGCATAACCTCTGATACCTATTATGTCCTTTTGCAATTATTTCTACAACATTTTTATATAGCATATGGGAAAAAATACTTTATTTCATCCCTTCTTAAATTTCCTAGCTTTTCTGATGTTCTCTTCTGCTTTGTTCATATGTTATATGAAACAGAGATAATAGCAGCTCTGAGCTGCCTGCTTTGTTATGTAATCGATTTGTATCACATCCTATTATCTGTATTTCAATCTCTTCGTTTTTTTTTTCTTCTTTTGAGAATTTATCTGTGCTCATAATTTTCTTTTTAGCTATACTTGAATATCTCCTCTTTTTAATGTCTGTTTTAAAACGGAATGGTCAGAACTATTAAAACGTCTGTGAGCCAGGGACTGCTGTCACCTTACCTTTGTTTGTGACTGTGGCTTCTAAGTGCAGTAAGTGATAGTAATACTGAGAATAGAGGTGAACGTAGTGATTCTCAGACCGTTGTTTTTCTGTAGATTTTTGCAGATTTTTTTTTTTAATATATCTGTAGGGAACTTTTTCTTTCCAGAATATATTGCTTGCATTTATCAACATCAGGTTTCATTAGCCCATAGTTGTTTCTTTAGCTAAGTTTGTTTAGTTCATTTAGTGTCTTACAGTTCTCAAAACTAAAGAAATCTAGATAATTTTTGGTCCCACATTTTGCCATATAACATTAATAGCTACGTTGACCAACATTGTATCTAAATGGAAGTTGCTGGTGATCTGTAGTCAGATAAATGAGTTTTGACCTTTTAGAATCATAGAATCATTTAGGTTGGAAAAGACCCTTGAGATCATTGAGTCCAGCTGTTAACCTAGCACTGCCAAGTCCACCACTAAACCATGTCCCTAAGCACCACGTCTTTTAAATACCTCCAGGGATGGTGACTCAACCACTTCCCTGGGCAGCCTGTTCCAATGCGATAACCCTTTCAGTGAAGGAATTTTTTCCTAATATCCAACCTAA